AGGAGGCAATATTAAATTTTTTTTTACAAATAAACTAAGGCTTGATCCTGTCTAATTCAAACGGTTTTCTATTAGTGTATATAAGTACAATAATATATAAAAAAATCAACGAGCTCTCAGTTTGCTTTCTATCGTTTTTATAGACTTTAAATTTTTCATAGAAACTAGTATGAGCTAGTATAAAAATATTAAAAAATTTTTACAACTATTCTATGCCTTGATTCTACGAGATTCAAATATTTTTGAGTTGCTTTATATTATAAGAATATATTGTAAAAATATCAACATGATCTGAGTTTGCTTTCTCGTATTTTCATACGTTTGAATGTTAGTATGAGTACGCGCCAGGAGGCAATATTAAATTTTTTTTTACAAATAAACTAAGGCTTGATCCTGTCTAATTCAAACGGTTTTCTATTAGTGTATATAAGTACAATAATATATAAAAAAATCAACGAGCTCCCAGTTTGCTTTCTATCGTTTTCATAGACTTTAAATTTTTCATACAAACTAGTATAGGCGAGTATGAGAATATAAAAAAAATTTTTACAACTATTCTATGCCTTGATCCTACGAGATTCAAATATTTTTGAGTTGCTTGATATTAAAAGAATATATAGTAAAAATATCAACATGATCTGAGTTTGCTTTCTCATATTTTCATACGTTTGAATATTAGTATGAGTACGCGCCAGGAGGCAATATTAAAATTTTTTTTACAAATAAACTAAGGCTTGATCCTGTCTAATTCAAACGGTTTTCTATTAGTGTATATAAGTACAATAATATATAAAAAAATCAACGAGCTCCCAGTTTGCTTTCTATCGTTTTCATAGACTTTAAATTTTTCATACAAACTAGTATAGGCGAGTATGAGAATATTAAAAAAAAATTACAACTATTCTATGCCTTGATCCTACGAGATTCAAATATTTTTGAGTTTCTTGATATGAAAAGAATATATAGTAAAAATATCAACATGATCTGAGTTTGCTTTCTTGTATTTTCATACGTTTGAATATTAGTATGAGTACGCGCCAGGAGGCAATATTAAAATTTTTTTTACAAATAAACTAAGGCTTGATCCTGTCTAATTCAAACGGTTTTCTATTAGTGTATATAAGTACAATAATATATAAAAAAATCAACTAGCTCCTAGTTTGCTTTCTATCGTTTTTATGGAATTGAATGTTGTTTTTACAATTATGCGCTCTCAATAGCAACAATAATTTTTTTTACGACACTTTTAGTGTTTGATTCTGCAAAATTTGTATAATTTTGAATAAATACATATTATAGAAAGCTTCAGTAAAAAAATCAGCAAGATTCAAGCATGCTTTCTAGTTTTTCATGGCTTAAATGACCTTTTACGCTAAGAACGGACACGAACATTACTGAATTTAAAAATTTGGTATTAAATTATATAAAACACTATACATTCCTATTATTGTATTTAAAATGATTAAAAAGTAATATTTAATTGCATCTGTAGCGTATTTATTCTAATAACATGTGTTTTTGACGCCGCGATACCGTTGCGGCCCTTTGTTTAATTCGACAGGTGGCCGGCTGCTAGTCGGCCGCTAGCTTCAGGTCCATTTTTTTTTCAAGGGCTTTATTGATTTTTAATTTTATAATTAATGGTGAGCAATTTGGAAGGGCTACGTAGTTGAATTGAGCTATTAAAAATCTATCGATTAGTATTTTTTTCATTGCGAATATCATAAATTTGCAGGCTGGGGTAGGGTAGGTATGGATGACTATTAGTTACTGTTAAGTTACCTACTAGTTAGTAGTTACTACTCTACGTGGTCATCTCACATTCCCCGTAAGGGGAGTGGGGAAACGGTATCGGGGCATAGCCCCCTGACCGTGGGTTCTTCCGCCGCCCACAAATATGGGCGCGTCGCTGGGAGGGCCCTTCTAGGACCCTTGAGGTTTCTTAATGTTAGTCGCCCGGGCGATCGGCCCGGCCGGGTGAGACCCTATTCAGGGAGGCCCAGCCAGGCGATCAGCGGCCGTGGCGGCTACTGAGCGTCATGTTGGTGTAGGAGATCCCTAGGGAGCGCATAACGGTCCGGTGGGCGGGCGTGCCAGGGGGCTATGTCCCTGACGTGGGCATGGGATGAAGCGTCCGCCCTCTCCAGCATCCCCCTACTGGAGCGGCGGATGAAGTCGTCGATGCTCTCGACACGGAGGTCACGCTGTATGGTAGCGTTCCTCACGTACCGAGGGGCACAGACTATTCTTCGTAGGCAGATCGCCTGTTGCACACGGAGTCTCTTTCGCTGGGTTTCTGAGGCGAGGGCGAACCACGCCGGGGCTGCGTACGTTAGTCGGGACCTAACATAGGTCTTATAGATCCCGACTTTCGTACGCAGGGGCAGCTTCGATGACATGACCGGGCGGAGCTGTGCCATCGCGGCCTTGGCGCTGTTGATAGTGGCGGTGATGTGTCCTTTCATTGAGAGGTAGCAGTCGATGTTGACACCGAGGTATTTAGCCTTGGCCGTCCACTGTATTTCTGTAGCTTCCATCACTAGGGGAGGCGGCGGGCGTCGGTCGTGGCCTATAGAGACTGCCTGTGTCTTAGCGACGTTGACCGACAGTCTCCATTTGTCCAGCCAGGGGGGCAAGGCGTCGAGGGCCCTCTGCATCTTCACGGCGGCGTGGGTGACGTTGAGGGACGTGGTGATGAGCGCCACGTCGTCCGCGAAGAGAGCAAGATGGGCACCGGCGGCTACCGGGATGTCGTCGGTGTACAGCGAGTATAGAAACGGCGACAGCACGCTTCCCTGGGGGACTCCGGCTGAGATTGGCTGCACGGATGACATGGCGTCGTCCACCCGGACGCGGAAGGAGCGCCCCCGGAGGTACGACGCCACCAGCTGCACGATGCGCCTGGGTGTTGAGGTGGCGATGAGCTTGCAGAGGAGACCCTCATGCCAGACTCTGTCGAAGGCCTTTTCGATGTCGAGGAATGTGGTAACAATCTTCTCCTTCTTGTTGAGTGCTGCGGCGACGTGGTGGAGTACTCGAGCCACCTGGAGTGTCGTCGAGTGGCCGCTGCGGAATCCAAACTGTTCGGGGCGCGGTTGGAAATGCGCCCGGAGATGTGACAGGAGGAGTCGCTCAAACAGCTTGGACATCGCTGAGAGGAGGGTAATCGGCCTGTAATTGCCCGGCTGTAGTGGGCTTTTCCCTGGCTTGGGTATAAGGATGATCACGCCTTTCTTCCAAGGCTCGGGGAAGTGTCCTGTCCTTAGTATTGAATTGAAGAGCCGGACCAGTGTGGCGATGGTCTGGCGCGGTAGGTGACGCAGTGCCCCATTCGTCACTCCGTCTGGTCCCGGGGCTTTGCGTGGCTTCAGACCCGCGATCCCTTTTCGCACCTGGGAGGGTGATAAAAAGAGAGGGGTTTCCTCAGGCGGTATTGGCGTGCGGAGAGATTCAGCTACGGCGGCTTCGGTTTCTGCATGGAATCGTGGATCTCTACTGGGGTTAGGAGAGAACTGAGTTGCCAGGTGTTCGGCGAAAATCTCTGCTCTCTCCGTAGAGTCATAGCATCGGGAGCCGTCGGTGCGGAGCAAGGGTCGCGTGGGCGGCTTCTTCTTGGAGAGCTGACGACACAACCGATGGAGTGATGTCGTGTCGTCAGCGGCTTCCTCCAGACGTCGATCCCAGCTGTCGGCTGAGGCGTCTTCCAGCACACTCTTGATTCGCTCAGCGAGCCGATTCAGTCGTGTTTTGGTAAGGGGGTCCCGGGTCGTCTGCCAGCGTCTCCGTGTACTCCTCTTTTCCTCGAGGAGGCGGCGCAGTTCAGGAGGGGGTGGTGGTAGTCGTCTAGTGTTGCTAGCGGGGGCGGTGGCTTCCTCGACTGCCTCGGTGATAGCCTCGGACAGCTTGGAGGCCAGTGCGTCGATGTCTTCGTCTCCCTCAAGGGGCTCAATCCTTGAGGGAGAGTTGCGGGTCATCAGGTCTGCGAACATATCCCAATTGGTTCGTCCCTTGGCTGGCAGCAAGCCTACACGGAGTGGCGTAGTGGGGATGGTGGCAAGCACTGGCATGTGGTCCGATCCATGGTCATCGGGGATCACCTCCAGCGTCAAATGAGGCAATCCCTTGTGTACGGCGAAGTCGATGACATCGGGGGAGCTGCTAATCGTCCAGGGGTAATGTGTTGGTACTTCTGGGCCGGTGGTGAAGTAGTGGTGCCTTTCCGAGTCCGTGAAGAGGCGCCTGCCGGCGGTGCAGGTGATTGCGGCGTTCCAGGCTGGGTGCTTCACGTTCCAGTCGCCTGCCACTAGAGTAGGAACGGAGGCATCCAGTAGCGATCGTACTTCAGTGAGGTTAATGTGATTGCCGGGAGGTCGGTAGACGGCGTAGGCATGGAAAAGCGCTCCGTCCATGCTTATCTCCACCCCAAGGGCCTGAAGGGAAGGCGAATTGAGCCTGTTGGGTAGATCTCTGTGCGGGATACCTCTCTTCACCAGCACAAGTAATCCTCTACGACGGGTGACGCTTGCCGTGTATTCCTGTCTGTAGTGATGGTAACCGGGGAAGGATATGGTGTCAGTCGGGCCTAGGTGAGTCTCGTTAATTAGTGCGATGTCGATGCGTTGCTCCCGGAGAGTCCACCTCAACATGGTGGTCTTGGAGCGCAGGCCGTTGGCATTCCAAAGTAGTATCCTTGTCTCAGCCATGGCGAAGCAAGGATACCATTCCGTTGAGTACGACCGCTGTAGGGTCCCCTCCAGTCTGCAGCGCAACGAGTACGTCCTTCAGTATCTCGATTGCAGCGTGCAGGGTTACTACTCATCCATGGTTACTACTTTATATATGTAGCAATATACTCTATGGTTACTAGTTACTACCATGGATGACAATTGACAAATAAAAGTACGTAATACTGACCTCAGAGCTGTGCTATCAAAAATATTTATATTGAAATTTGAATCATTAATGTTCTATTGTCTTAGAATATACTAACTTTTATCATCATGTTCACAAAAATTATGCGCCATAAACCTTTAATTAGAAATATAGTTTATGTCCCTGCTCATAAACCACCAGAAGATGAAGATTTTCAAAAGCTTCGTGAATTTGCTGTAAAACATAAAAAACTTCTCATTTTAACTGGTGCAGGAATATCTACAGAGTCAGGTAAGATAGCCCTTTTATTCAAAACATTGAAACAAAAGTGTATTACTAACAATTTTCATTTAACCAACAGATGATATTTTGATGTTTCAAAAGGTATACCAGATTACCGATCAGAAGAAGTTGGGCTTTACGCAAGGAGTAATCATAAGCCTGTTCAGTATCAGGAGTTTATTAAATATCCAAAAGTAAGACAAAGATATTGGGCAAGGAATTTTGTTGGTTGGCCAAGGTTTAGCTCTATTCAACCAAATGCCACACATTATTCTATTCGAGAATTGGAAAAGGTAAATATAAATATTTTGCATTTGGCTCTTGGCTCGAGTCTCAGTACTAGTAATGGGATGTCGAAAAGGGTGAATTAATATTACAAAAAAATTGTTTAACTAGCAAATGGCTATCATAATTTATTTGCTAAGTGTTATTTTTATCATATTTGATTTAAAGTTTTTTTTAAACATGGTTGCTTCTTTTTCAGGCTGGTAAAGTAACGGCAATTGTAACACAGAATGTGGATAGGCTTCATCACAAGGCAGGCTCTGAAAATATTATTGAACTTCATGGTGCAGGTTATATAGTAAAATGTCTGAAATGTCCATATGAGGTCAGTAGATCTGAATTGCAAGAAACATTGATTAAGAATAATCCAGATATGAAAAGTAATTTTGATATGATTAGACCAGATGGAGATGTGGAACTATCTGTGGTAAGTAATTATTTTATCCTTACTAATGTTATAATTAATTTGTTAGTATGTTTGATGATAACCCTACATTAGAAAAAGAAGCAAGTAAATGATATAGATGCTACTTATTCGCATCATTAATTGGTTCTATCATATTTTACAATATTTTAAAAGGTGTTCTATTCTTCAGGAACAAATCGAAAAGTTCAAAACTCCTCTATGCCCTAAATGTCAAGGGCCACTGAAACCTGATATTGTATTTTTTGGAGACAATGTCCCTAAACAAAGAGTAGAACAAGTGAAGAAAGAAGTGACTGCTAGTGATGCAGTGTTTGTTTTAGGATCCAGTTTAACTGTGTATTCCAGTTATAGAATAATATTACAAGCAAAGGAAGAGAACAAAAAGATAGCCATATTAAATATAGGACCTACAAGAGCTGATGATATTGTGGATTTAAAGATATCCACAAAATGTAGTGAGATCTTGACAGATTTGTGCCACTTTGTATGTCAGAAGAGTACATGATATCTAAATTATAATATTACATCTCAGACTAAGGAATAATATAGTCATAGAACTAAACATGAAGCCAAACAATGTTACATATAAAACAGTATAATAAGCAGTGCCGGATTTAACCTTTAAGCGCCGCCCCTGGGCAAAGTAAAAAATGCTAATATAGATAATAGGGCTGCTAATAGAGATATAGATAATATTATCGAAATTATGGATAAAGTTAGTTTTTTTTAAATTATGATTTATAATATCGGCAATAAATGCAAAATATTAATTTATAAATTATTTTTCGATTTTACGAAAAATGTACTTGTTGTTTTTTTTAATTATTCATTTTTTGGAAAATAAAAAAACATTTTCGATAACACGAAAAAAAGTTCTACCCTCTGAATTTTGTCGCCCCTGAGAATTTGCCGCCCTGGGCACTAGCCCGGAATGCCCCTAGTGTAAATCCAGCTCTGATTATAATAAGTAGTACTGTAGTAAACTCATTACTGTGATAATGAATGTTTATAAATAAAAATAGCTAATAGAATTTTATTATAATAAATTCTTAAAAAATACGAAAAAATGTAATATTATTTACTAGCGACCCCCCTCGCTTCGCTCGGGTTCGTCCCTTGTTTGATTCCCCATACAAACAAACTTTCATCCCCATTTTCACCCCCTCAAGGATGATTTCCGGGATAAAAAGTATCCTGTCCTTCCCAGGGTCTCAAACTATCTTCTTACCAAATTTCATCTAAATCGGTTCAGTAGATCCAGAGATTACATCCTACGTCACAAACACACAAACTTTACCTCTTTATAATATTAGTATAGATTTATATTCATCGCAGGCTCTGCTTATATAATCCTTAAGTATATTGTTGATGATTTTAACCTGTTTACCTCATTATCCTCAAATGTATATAAAAGCGTAATTTTGTTTGAAATAAAATGATAATATGGGAGAGTATCTCATTTTAATTTATTATAAAAGGAAGAATTGGTACAAATTTCAATTCAAAAGCAATAAGGTTCCAACCAAATGATATCATTCACACATTATTTGAAATATTATTTATAAAAAAGGAACATTCCTTAACCATTGATAAAAAAAACCACTTGGCTTCAATAAGATTTAAATGAAAATAAGATATTAAAAGAATAGTTGAGATCACAAAAGACTGTTGAACCAAAATATTCAATTCAGCGAGATGATTTTAATAACTTACATTATTGTATGTATAGGTCTGGCATGTAAATCCTTTTGAAACCGGAGTATGAGTATTGGATAGTTCCTAATAGAAAATATTTACGAGCAAAACCTATACTCTCAACATAAAACATTAAAAATAAACAGTTTATGGCAGAATAATGCACTGCTTTGGTATAAATTAGATGTATATCTTACTTTAGTGGAAAGATGTTTAAGTAGGCCTTATCAAGAATGTTATTCTATAGATCAGCGGTTCCCAAATGGTGGTCCGCGGAACCCTAGGGTTCCGTGGAAGAGTCACAGGGATTCCGACCGAGAATTGAATAAAACGTCAGACATGAAGCCTTATTTTAGTGCTATTATAAATAAATACGTGAAAGAATTTCATTCATCACATAAATAGTTAAGTAATTTTTTGGTACAATAAATATTATAAGTATTCTAAATACAACACAATCAGTTTAGTTATTTTTAAAATGAGGGGATCTGTTAAAAAATTATGATCAATTAGAGTTTTGTGGCCAAAAAAAATTGGGAACCGCTGCTTTATAACAAATTGAAAATTTATTAAACTACACAATTTCCAAATCACATTTATTCATTTGAACTATTAAAGTGTTAAGTTTGATCATAATTGTTAAGGTATTTGAGTCATATCTTACATATCCAAAGATCCAATAATTCCAAAAGAAGTGAATTAACTGGACGGATTTTGATGAGATTTACAGCATACAACAAGTTCGAGAATAAATGCTTAGCCTATTTTTAAGTTTTAAGGACTTAAGTCCAATTTAGCTCACTATCATTGTTTACTTTAAAATACTTGAATGATTAATTAAACTGCATTTAAACTTACATGAAAACTTTCTAAAAATGTGTAATCTACATTAACATTTAGTTTATGGCAGTGCTCATTTGAAAAATTTCAAATTGAAATAGGTGTTAATAGTGTGGGAAACAGAGATAAAATACGTAGAATAGCTGCTCACTCAGTGATTTTATGCCATGTATAAAATCACTAAGCAGCGTTAACTTTATCTAAACACTTTGGCAATTATAATTTTGAAGGCAAGCAATTTCAAGGCAGTGATAGCCCAGTGGTAATGCGCTCGCTTGGGTAACTGAGTGAAGCGGGTTCATACCCTGGGTCTTGCACCTCTGATATTTTCATGTGCGAATCATTTCCAACATGATTACCATTTGTATTACGGTGAAGGAAAATATCGTGAGGAAACCTTAATGTCTGAGAGAACTTAGCAAGTTTCCAAAAGACATATGAAGTCCATCCTGCACTTGGCCAGCGTGGTGGACTATGGCCTGATCCCCTCGTATTGAAGCTCGTATCATGCTCAGCAGAGAGACATTAAAAAGGGCTAAATACAATGAAGTTTGATTAAATACGAGATTTAATAAAAGCATGATATAAAAGTAAAATAAAATTACTCTGTCAAACAATATATACATCATTTCTGCTTTAGAAATACTTTAATATTAACCTATTCCTTGTATATTATCTCTGCATTCCCAATTGTTAGCTATTATATAACGTCAAATTACTTACCTCAATCTAAGGAAACAAGTTATTGAAACAATTGAATGTAGGTTATGAGGCCATACTGAGTTTCACAAATGTTTTTTCATATAGGTAAGGACTTAATATATATGCTAAAAAAAATACATGAGTTACTTGTTAGTGAGGAATTTGTTCAATTAAATAAAGAAGTTTTTTCAATTATCATCCAAACTATGATGCATGGTCTTTGAATTGTTCCTATATTATCAAAAATTGGTCAACTAAATGAACAGTTCTAAGTCAATAAAAATTCACTATTACATTTTTGAATAAAAAAATTTTAAGCATTGCTCATAGATATAATTTTTCTTGTTTTCCACATACAAGTCAAATAATGGAAGCAAAAAAATGATTAATCAAAGTAATACATAACACTTTCAATTATTACAAAACATATTTAGAAGTTTTCAACTTAATCGCTAACCATTTGGATTATCAATTATTTAAAGCGAAGCACTTCACTTGGCCTTATAAGCACATTCAAATTGCAACACAGTCTTAAGATTCACAATGAATTGTTTTGTCACAACATAACGCAATACTAATCGTCTATTGGTAACATTATAAGAAGTAATCTGCTTGGGGTTTCTTCGAAGGCACCCCTCTGGACTCCTGAGGTGCCGCCTCAAATATTGTGAATTCACGCTGAAGACTCTCGTTCAGTTCCAATATGGCAGCTACATTACCACATCTGTTGGTGATATTATTATTAATATAGATAAATATATTTTTTTAGTTTCCCTTTCACTTTGACTGTCACATTTTATTTTACTAACAACAGAAACAATAAATAATATTTAAATCTACATATTATAATTTTTCTTTTATGCTACAAAATAATTTTAAGGTAAGACATCTTGTATGGACCCTTTGCCACTAGTAGGTAGCATCAATAAAAATGTCCGAAACGTTACCTATAGCAATAGTTGGGAGCAGACCACACAGTGAGCACGGTCTCGTTGAAGTGCCACTTGTAGCCCTCCATGACGAGCTGGTGGGCGCGGCAGATCATGTCTATGTCGTTGGACACGTTGAACTGCGCCACCACGTCCGAGCCGAACAGGTAGCCCGCGCCCCGTGGGGACACGCCCCAGCCCTGGGTGTCTGGAACAAACATCCATACTAATATTATAAATGTGAAAGTGTGTTTATTCGTCTTTCTTTCACGTCGAAACAGAGTGACGAATTAGCATAAGTTTTTGTGTGGAGATAGTTGGAGGGCTGGACAGTAAGTGACATAGGCTACTTTTTACCGCGGGGGATAATCTCATTCCCACAGGAAAACGCGTTATGATATAACCCAAAATAAAAAGACCATATGGAGGTAAAATAGGGGATGAAAGTTTTTATGAAACCCACTTTTTAGAGATTCTTCGTAATTTTAGTGCGAGCGAAGCCGCGGGTTCTGCTAGTATAATAATAAAAAAAAACAGTCATGAGGACTGCCGACTTTAGTGAAAACTTAAAACTATAAACAAACAGAACATCTGTTTCATTTTATATGTGTGGATATTCAAATTAATTGTTTGATCTTAAGTTAAAATTTGTAAATTGAAACTGCTTACATTTATCTGGTTTTGACATCTATCGGCGCTATGAGTGTTAACGTTAACACGTCACGTGACCATGTCGATTAGGACTTACAAGAATTTACTCCCCATCAAAACCTGCCACCTGTACTCACTATTCCTGTCATTCTCATACTCCGGTGGGACAACTACTCTACAATTATAATATCCAGACGTATACCGCAGTATCCCGCCGGATATAAGAAAATAAGACTGGACACTGGATAGTTGCCAGATATCCATTTCATCTTTAATAAGAATCAACAAATTGTTCAGTCTATAGGTTTGTAGGAGCATAAAATTGAGGTCCATCTGTGATTTCAAAATAGTTAACTCCATATTTTTGGGTGATAGAATTGTCTCCAAGAAATCAAAGACTACATGGCTTATAAACATTTATATTATTGCCCACTTGTGTAGCTGATGAACTCATTTTAATAAGACTTTTTACACTTGATAGAGGAGCGATAGCTATGTTTAGAGAGCCAAATCAAAGTGTATATGATTGACTAATATTCTATGGTGAACACTTGAAAATACAAGGAAAAAAAGGAGCCTAAGAAGTACGCATTTTTTCCTTCAGAATATCCTATAGAAAAATCTTATAAAAAATAAAAAATGTTTTTTACACAATAAAAAACATTTTTTATTTCTATTCTTCAGCTATAACTAAAGCTACAAGCAAGCAAAATTACAATATAAAGTAATTTCAGTTAAGAGGTTTTATTGCTGTTCACTATGTAGTGGTATATTTAAAAAAAAACATATTCCTAAATAAATATAACCAAAGACAAAAATAACCTTCTGGATCACTCCATAGCAAGTCGCACATGGGCCCGTCATGGGGCACCTCTTGCTTGCGATCAATGGTTCGTATCTGGTCCAGGGTCTGTATGGAGGGACTCAGGCCGCCATGGACGCAGAATATCCTCCCATCTATGATAGCCGATAGTGACAGATAGTCAAATATTTCTGTGCAATATCTGTAATATAAAAGACAAAAACTATGAAGATTTTATTGGAGTGGGGAGTCTGTATATTTTACGCTTCTTGGAGCCCTTCTATATATACCTCTACATATACATATTTAATACTTAACAAGATGACGTCATAATAATTTTTAAAATTCCAATATTTTGTCCATTATAATTTTTTCATGGTAACAAGATTTTTGGAATATTTATGTTTTTGTTAATTTGAAAAAATATCTTATTTTCAGCGTTAAATTAAAATTATAAATAATGGAGGCAGAGTTCTGGGTAGTTGAGGTCTTATTGCAAATTTCCTCCTCTATATTTTTATTTTATTTATTATTAATATTTTTTAATTATTAGCGAAAAGCTAAATAGCTTCTCTTTTCATTGTTATTTGTTTATAACTTTTGAAATTTTTTACAAACTGAAAAAGTCGTCATTCCAGATCCAAAGAGCTATCGCACATATTTTTAGGAGCTTTATCTCTAATTTTCACCATTTTTAAATTGTGATCTAGACTATAGCATTCAAATTAGTTACCTCCATACTGTGATTGATCCATACTTTCTTAAGCATTCATCATAAAATCCATACACTTGTGTGATTTGTCTTGACTCGTGGTTGCCTCTTATCAATGTGATGCGATCAGGATAACGAACCTGTGTTAAAATTTATCCTTATCCATTATACATACTCCTTTAAAACTATAATAAAAACTAGCGACTCATGTTCGTCTCTAGTTACGTTTTAAAGTTTAGTATAGATTTCTCGGAGATAAGATATATTCCTGTAGTAAAAAGTATCCTACATGTTGACTCGGATATCATCATCAAAATCTGTCCAGTGGTTTTCTCGTGATACGTTCCCAGACAAACAGACAAAAATTCTAAAAACTATAGATTCGACCTCTATCGATAATGATGACTATTTCAATAAGATTATCCGAAATATATTTTATTTACAGATTCGAATCAGTTAGAGTTTTATTATATGTATAGATTTACATACATATATTGAAATTTTACTCTCATTTAAATCTTCTACATAAATAAAAATTAATAATTGTAATTTTGTCCTCTATATATTCCTAAAAGTCTTTTACTCATATTACACACTTGTCTTTTATCGTCACTTAGGGACGTACCTGAGCAAAGCGATGGTTATTTAAATATAAAAGTAATCGGACAACCCGACGAACGGCTGGTCTCCATCCTTATGTCGTGGAAATTCCACCCGTCCGGACGAAGCGTTTCGCAACGTCATTCATTATACGTGCGGCTAAGGATTGGAACAACCTGCCGGCGTCGGTGTTTCCGTCCGAGTACAACATGGGTGTCTTCAAGGCAAGAGTGAATAGGTGGCTACTGAATTAGTGTGACTTACCATCTACGACTGCGTTACCACTTACCATCAGGTGGAACGCAGTCAAGCACTAATTCAGAATACAATAAAAAAAAAAAAATACTTCCTTAGATTTATGTGATTACTTGACATTTTAAATAAGAGCTAACTACATAATTTATTTAAATCTATTACATCTATTTAGATGTACATAGTTAGCACTTATGGTTATACTTACTTTATGGTTTAGGTAAGAATAACAGCAATCCAAAATAAAATTTAGTAGCAATAGTTTTGCTTAATATTTTGATTTTTTTAATATAAAAAATATAATAATAGCAACACAAAATAAGATAATAATCTTGAATACAAGGAAAAAAATTAAAACTGTAAGAGTTATAATACATAATACCAACCCAAATTATATACCATGTTTGCTGGAAAGTATTCAAATTGACAGGAAACAAAAACAAATCCGAAAAGATAGTTTTTATTAAATTTTAAAATGAAAGTGTTCATTGCTTTGTTTTTACTTCTTTCGATCTAAGTTGAAACAATAAAAGCTTTTAATTCTATTATATAGTTTTTTTTATTATATACATATATATTTTCTTTTGATTATAGGATCTTAAATATTGAAAAATATATTAAGGATTTCAGAGTGTAGTCAGGGCCTGATTGATGTAAATTATTAACATGTAGATGACATACTCTAAAATTGACTTATACACTTAAGAAAATAAATACTTGTGTCACACATACAAATGTATAGATTTTGTGAATGTCATCTTGTCTATGGCATTTAATTCATGACAGTAGACATGTAGCCTTTTGATACCTCTATGTGGCTCACCCTCGCTTCGCTCAGGTTCATCTCTCAATCAATCTATCTCTGTGCAAAGTTTCATCCAGATCCGTTCAGCCGTTCTGGTGTGAAAGAGTAATAAACATCCATATACACAAACTTTCACATTTATAATATTTTTGTACAGATTTGTGTTTAATAATCTTATTATACCAACCAATCTCCTTCTGGTCTTCTCAATTCTATGTGACATTGACGAAGTAATCTGTGCTTAACTGGCACTCTTTGAAGCCATTAACAAGAAAATTGAAATGAATTTATTTGTGTTATAATATAAACAGCATAACAAATGTACAATAAAAATTATACAGATTGGCATGATATATTCATGTGCTAAACTTAACAGCTGTTACAATAAATATTAAAGATACTCTTACTTTTAATGCTAGAAGTAATAAGAAAGTTTCAACAGAATAAAACCCTCTATCCACAAAGTCTCCCATAAATAAGTAATTGGTTTCAGGTACATCTCCGCCAACTTTGAACAACTCCTTTAGGTCATAAAATTGGCCATGTATATCTCCGCATACCTAAAATAAGAAAACTAATATATAAATGTATTATCAATTATATTGCACTAGCGACTCACCCTCGCTTTACTCGGGGTCATCCCTAGGTACATTTTAATGGTTAGTATGGAATAGATAGATTATATATATATCTTCAATATTCCGTAAGTTAAAATAAATAAAAAAAAATATGAAAAGAGAATGATCACAATCCGATATAAAAGCTATCTAATGCAAAGAAGTTTTCAAATTGGATTAGTAGTTCCTGTGTTCAAACAAATTTGCCTCTATAATATTAGTTTAAAATTTAAATGGAGTTCATTTTGGATCACATAGCAATAAAAGTTTAAGCTATTACTTTGTTACTTTTATTGAAGTCTATTCAAATAATATTCAATTATATGTTTAAATAACTTACAGGAGTTCAAATTAAATTCCTTTGAACTGTTTAATTTAATTTTACCTTAATATAATAGTCAAAAACTACAGTAATAATTGATAAATACACTTTTGTTAATATATTATGTATATTAATTTATATATATATGTATTAAATAGATTTGCACTAAAGTATTATTTTTTTATCTGTGGAATATATTACATGTAATTGGTTGAAAGACGGTTATTGGTTAACTAATGCATTTACATTGAAAGACACCTTGAAAATACAAAAATTTCATGGTTAATCTATTTATTTCATATTGCAATACGCATTTGTAATGTTCTTCGCTGAACATTTTGATTAAGGGATTTAAATTAATAGAGTCCTAATAAAAATATTTTAAAAACATGATGTTGTTGACATAGATATTATGTTTTATAACATTCAACAAAGGTCTTGAGAACTAAGATTTATCTGCATTTTCGAGTACAAAAAGTAAAAACGAGGATATACAGTACCGTAACGGGTGAATCGACTCGTTGAACATTACTCTCTTCAACAAGGATCTCGCGGGCTTTCGCACAGAGGGCTTTAACCTCTGCCTCCATTATTATCTCACATCTTTTCAATTGCTCAATTTGACGGTCTAAATCACTTGTGTCAGACATTTTCGCAAATAATAAAGAATTAAATCTGCAAATATTCATCATTAAATCAAAAAGAGGGTAATGTGTTTGTCTGCTCAGTTTAGCATATTAATGGTATTTTATTTACACACATATCACATTTTATTCAGTATACATATAATATTTAATTTAATACTTACAAATATTATGTCGTTTAAATCAATGTGTTATTTAAAACATTCGAGTTAAATATAATTTATGTTATACTTTTCCTCCAAACAATCACATATTTACCATAGACTACACTATAGAGAAGGTAAAGAGCATGAATGAATATTATAGAAGTAAAGAATAAATAACTAACAAAGGATATAGATAAGATATTAATACTTAAATACATATATATAATGTGTTGTCGCTACTCATCTTTAAATATATATATATATATATATAAACATCTATTGCCGTTCGTTAGTCTCGATAAAACTCAAAAAACGGCTGGACTATTTTTATTTCTTTGTTGGAAATGTGTCAGTTTTAAAAAATTAGGGAAAACCCATAAAAGCAGCTGGAAAATCGAAAAGTTCAGAACTGTTTCTTTTGTACCTATGTATACATATACAATCATTCCATACTAGCATGAATGTCTATCATTTCATACTAACCGTTAAAACGTACTTAGAAACAAACCCGAGCGAAGCGAAGGTGAGCCGCTTGAATTAAATATTTATTTTTATGCATAATTTTTCAACAATAAAAATAAGCTATCTAAAAACCACTCTTACTTTATTAATTTTATAAAAAATGGTCCTCTATGCTTACCTGACTATAATATACCATTGGACAGGGCGCGCTGTTTAATTTAATTGTCTCAACAATATTATATTAATATGAAGTTGAAATTAAAAAAAAAAAATTATTTTCTATCCGGACTATAATTTTTTTGATTATCTATTGGAGTAGTCTCTCATTGACAGATAACTGTGACGGATAATGGGTAATAAAAATATATTCATGTGTGTCATAATTATAAATGAAAAAGTAAAAGTGTGTGTGTAGTGTGTACTGTCACACTGTGTTGTTGTTGTTTTCTGCTTGTCAAATATTGAATTTTTATCGGCGCGAGTTAATTGTTAATTATATCGATTTTGTTTTTCGTTAAATTGTGTTTATGTGTTGAAAGTTCTTAATATAAGTTCAGTAAAAGTGTTTCTTAAACATGGGAAATATTCACACAGTCGGGCCGAATGAGGCGCTTATAGTATCAGGTAAAATTTTATTCTTAACAACGTTTTCCTCATACAGAATCGTTTTGGCTATGTAGTATTCATACATATTCATCATACCTATTACAAACATAGAAATATTATAATAAATACACTGATAATGTAATTTATCGCTGTGAATTCATGTGTTTATACTAATGAGTTTCGTTATTTGTACAAGGTTAATATCGTTATTAACAGTATTAGAAATAAAGTATTTCTGAGAGTAATAATTTAAAATCTTAAATGCCATTTTTTATCTAGCAGATGTGTTATTTGATAATAATTTGATTAATGTTTACATTTTTAGTTACACAATAGTTCTGCTTAAATTTTTTTTCTTTAGTATTTTTATTGATTATTAAGTATTAAACAACAAAATTGTTAAGAACGTTTTTGTTGTAAGTATAATATGTATATAATATTTTGAACGTTAACAGTACTTTAATCATTAACTCCTTTAAATCCTTGGTATCTTTAAACATAATATATAAAAAAAAAATGATTTCAAAGAATAAATACATAACCTAATTGCTTTATTTTTAGAATATGACAAGTTCTATGATTCAGTCTTATCACACCTACATATCGTTGAGATAATTCAACGAGATCCAGGAAATGATCATATTTTTTATTTTCTTATCTGAAAAAAGTGAAGCACATCAAAAAAACGAAATTAATAAAAAGTTTTTTTTTAGTTTTTGGTATAATTTATTTTAATTTCTATATAATATTTTAGTTCAGTCCCCAAGTTTGTTTAATCATGTCTGCTCCTTTCTCCCCTATCATAATAGCTGGTGCGTTAGTGTGCGCTGCTATTGTATTTGGTATTATACTACTATCGACGACCCTTAAATTTTTCATCCCATATACACGTAGCTTAGGATCAACAATTGCTTCGGGGTCTGATGCGGGACCCATTTTGCACGTCGCAATTTGATGATGAAGTGTTACAGCAAGAGTTCTTAGAGCGCATTCCCAATATTCATCAGTTCCAAAATCAAAATTATCACAGTTTGGGAATTTTTTCTTATATACTTTTGCTCCATACTTTTGAAAAGGCGGAGTGTCAACCATACTTATTAGATATCGTATACCAGCAATCATAGTCGCGATATCTTGAGGATGTGATAAATAATTACCATAAAGTTTTGGCTGATCGAAAGGATTTTTTGATCGTAGTTTCATATAACCTTTCGATTTTGGATGCAGTAACATAAAAAATAATGAAAAAGATTCTTCGTTTTCAATTTTACTGTAAACATCCTCATACAGCCACCTGGCCATATGTATGCCTCGGGCTACAACAGAACCTTTGTCCGATGCAAATGAAGCGCAAGTACCCATCAATTCGAGGTCTGGAAATTCACCGAATTCGTCTGATATGTTAGTTTTTATATAACCAATCGTTTCAACACCAGCTAACGAAGAAAACGGGCCGTCTCCATATTGAGTATACTGAAATGCATTTTCGATTGTATTGATTTTGTCTTCAATTATGGTTAGTCTAGATGTATTCAAAGTAAATACAAGACCAGGAAAACTTATGTGATCATATAGAGTTTCTCCTACTTTTAGATCTTGTATGACAGGAATGCCCATTGATTCTAAATGTTGTTTAGGTCCAATTCCTGATAACATAAGTAAATGAGGAGATTCGATAGGACCAGCTGAAAGAATTACTTCTTTTTTAGCATGTATTACGTATTTTTGCCCAAATCTTTGAAATTCAACACCTATAGCTGTCTTGGTCGCAGGATCTATTAATACTTTGGTAACTTGACTGTCTGTGAGTATATGTAAGTTTTTCCTTTTCTTAATTTTATGTAAAAATGCTTTGGCGCTACTCATTCGTATTCCATGATTCATTGTAGCTTGAATGTAACTAAAACCAAAACTATCGGGACTATTATAATCAACTCTTTTATTTCCTAATACCTTCGCTGCGTCCAAAAATGCTTTTGATAGTTTAGACCTGATGACCAAACAAATATCAATTATATAAAACGTTAGGGAACAAAATAATGTATATATTATAATACATATTATATTCTTACCTAAATGGTACGTCTTCAACACTTAGTTCACCGTTAATGCCATGCCAAGGCGAATTTATATGTTCTCGAAGATTAGCTCTTTCAGATTTAATATAATATGCCATCACTTCCTCGTATGACCTAATAATAGCAGAGAGAAAAATTAAAAGAATGTTAGTTTATTAAAATCTCGTTAGTTTTGAAATGGTGAGATTACGCGCTGCACTAGCCGATCATGTTTTATGCCTATCAAAGGCCATAGTACAATAGAGAACTTATTGAAATCAAAAACGATTGCGAACCATAACCTTGCATTTCTCTAGACAGAGTTATAAATTCTGTGCGTCAGTCTGTTTTTGATTTTACGTGTGCATCTTGTAAGAGCCATATAGAAATTATGAACAGCGTTTTTTATTATACTAGCGACTTACTCTCGCTTCGCTCGGGTGCGTCCATAGGTACGATTTAATTTTTTTGAGCGGACGAAAAAACAATTGTAACATGTCTAGACAAATAAAGCTTTGTATGTATTTTTAGCCCTTTTTAATGTCCCACTGCTGGGCAGGGGCTCCCTTCAGTACGAGGGGGAACCAGGCCATAGTCCGCCATGCTGGCCAAGTGCGGGTTGGCGGACTTCACATGTCTTTTTAAAACTTGCTAGGTTCTCTCAGACATGCCGGTTTCCTCACGATGTTTTCCTTCACCGTTAAGACAAGTGGTGATCATGTTGGAAATGATTTGCACATGAAAATATCAGAGGTGCGAGACCCGAGATTTGAACTCGCTTCACTCGGTTTCCCAAGCGAGCGCGTTACCACTGGGCCACCACTGCCTACTTTGTTATTACTTAGTATTATTAAGTTATTCCTTATAACATTAGATCAGCTATCTGCCAGTAAGAGTCAAAATCAGTCCAGTCATTTCGGAGATTAGCCTGAACAAACAGATAGACAAAACCTTATTATTACCTTATATAATTTCATATGCATTTATTAAAATTTTGACATTACAAACCTACATCATTTCAATATTATTTATTTGTATAGATTTAAAATACGTAAGTTGCACCTGTATAAAGGCCGACTTATTATATAGTAACATTTTACCATCCATCGTTCCCTTTAGCGGCTATTCTGTCCCAGTCTTCTTTATTTCCTCTTGTATATATCATATAGTTGACAACACTGGAACCTCCAACAGCTCTACCTCTAGGCCAAAAACACCTTTCATCTTCAATTCCTAAAGATAAAAAATATTTAATATTCAGTGTAATAAAAAGTCTTCTCAATGGGTTTTTAAGCGGGAGTCAATTGAGGACAATTTACGCCAACGTTATGTAGAATGAAGAAGACCTTGTGGAAATAGGTATCGACCTATTTCGTATATTATCGAAAATGATAATATTATTACCATTATTTTTGTAATATGCATTATATAACATGTCTTTTATTAAGCGTGATATTTATTTAAAAATAAAATGCATCAATAGCAAACATAAATTAATTAAAAAAACGTTTTTTGCTTATATGTTTATTTTCTTCTTTTTTTTTTAAATAAATGCTAGTTTTAAAAAATGATTTTTTAAATAATAATTTATTTATATATTTTTAAGTTTACTACGGTGTTTGTAAATCATGGTATTGGTGCACTACATAAGTCAACTAAATCATAATTGTTGAATGTGTGTACAAAATTTCGTGTCGGTGCCTTTGACTGCTGAGGAGATTTCTCAAATCCTGAGGGCAGCAGCCAGGCCACGTGGACTTTAGAACGGGGGTGTTATAATTGAAAACATATACAACATTTTGCATCTGTGCTGTTGCACGCTGAGAAGATATCTCAGTTGGAGTTAATCGCGGACGCAGCAGCCAAGTCATAGATTTTAGAAGGAGTTATAATTGAATGCGTATATGAAATTTCGTGTCTCAACTGTTAACTGTTGAGTAGTTGCTTCATCTGGAGCCTATTCTAGATGGAGAATTTGGTCATGATTACTATTAAAAGTTATTATCACCGGAACTGAACTAACACGAAAAATTATAAATCTGCAGGATTAGAAGAAGTGGTTCTAATTCAGCTAACCAGATTTGATGCATACAAACATACGAACTAACAAACATTGCAAACTAAATAAAATCTTTTAAAAAATAAAAGATTTTCTTTGACTTTTAATAATTAGTCAGATTATACCAATTAAAGAATCCTTTAATGTGGTATGCTAAATACATTTTTCAACGTAATTTTATTTGAACTTTGGGAATTATATATACCTCAGAGGTATATCTCGAAGTTACTTAGTTTCATTTCAATTTGAAAAAAATCCCTCAAACTTGACACCGTTTATTTGTTAAAAAAAATCGGTGGGGCAGTGCGGTTTAACGTGAAACGTCTATTCAGGGTGTCGCTTTTAGTGTTAAAGATTAGAATGAAAAAAACAAAATTGACTTCTAGTTAAACACGTGTTAAATAGAAATAAAGCTCCTAAAAATATGTGCGATAGCTCATTCGATTCGGAATGACGTCTAGAAAAATGTTTTTAAGGGTTTATTAGCACATAAAAAAATTGCAACTGTTATGAACAAAATAAGATAAAAAAAGGTTTAGTTTTTCGTTAATAACTTCTAAAATAATGATATTTAAGGAATTTTGAAAAAAAGATCCTTAAGAGGAGGAAATTTCCAATAAAAATTCCGAACTCCCGGAACTCTATCTCTATTATTAATAAAAAAAATTAACTCTGAAAATAGGGCTCTGCGAGGTCGTTACGGCATAGGCGCGCCGTCAAAAAAGCCGGTATATCACCTAAAATATTTTTTTATAGTATGAAACAACTATTTAAAAATTTGAACAAATTATAGTGTAATCTAGACACTTGAAAGAAAAGAACCTCGGTAAAAAATATATTTATGTCGATTTTTCAAAAAGTTACACCATTGTTAATTAACAAAAAATTTTCCAATCTCGGTTTTTATAAATTACGCATAAAAGTTTAAATAATTGGTCTATAAATTTTTCGTTTCGTGGAGCTCTTCTTATTTAGGTACTAAATAAAGTTATAGAAAAAAATAATAATTAAAGTTTATTATTTTGTTAATTACTTATATATTTTTTTAAATTAACAAAAAATGAAATTTCAAAAAAATGTTATCAGAAAAAGAATTTTTTGTAATATCTTACGAGTATTATTGCTGTTTTTGCATCTAATATAGGTATTAATTAACGTTGGAAAAATTTTTTTACGTTTTTTGTTAAGAAATTATTTATAAACAAATACACTATTTTGGGATGTTTAAAAAAAATTTACCATCTTATTGCATAGGTAAAATAATGACTTTTTTTTAATTCTTAAATATTTTTTTTATTGTTTATAATCATTTTTTTATTGCTTAAATAATTAGTTAAGAAATTATTTTATTCTGAAATATAATTATTGACCCTTTTCAATGAAATATCAGAGAAATAATTTTGTTTTATAAATACTTTCATTGTTTATTAACTTAACATTTTGTTATAAGCAAATAATATTAACCGTTATATATTTTTTCGAAAAAATTACAAAAACAACCGTATATAACAAAATATAGAAAAAAAATTTTTTTTCACGGCAACGAGTACAAAAAATTTTGATTGTATGGAATACTTTTTATAAACTAAGATGAAAAGTTACCTATGACCAGTCTGAGGCTTTTTCTTTCCGAATTGGTAGTAGACTCATGACGTTCAGTAAAAAAATGTAATAATTTAATGCTGAATAATTTTATTTTGAATTAAAAATAATGAATATGTTACTCCCCGATCTACCATTAGGAATCTCTTTAATAATTCTTATATATTGAAGAAAATAGAAGGTTTTACTTAATAAGGTATTAAGTATTAAGGTTAGATTAACTTTATTTATTTTTGATTAAAATGCCACAGCTTAATAAATATGTATATAATGAGGTTGGCTCGTTGGAAATTGTTGCCCAGTTATTTGATTGGATGACTAATGTAAAAATTAAATTACTTTTACTTAAATTACATACCTATGCATATTCCAGGCTGATGTTCCATTAAATAATGCCATACATAATTTGTTTGCTGGAGTACAGGTGCTAATATTGGTACTCCAGTAAGTATCGCCTCGCCTGTACCGGCCTCTAACAGCAATACAGAGGCTCGTCTACCTTCACTTAGACGAGCCGCGAGTACGCTGCCCGCAGACCCTGCGCCTACCACTATGAAGTCGTATTCTTTAAGAGGTCCACGGAACTCTGTAATTAATCAAAATATTAGATTAATAGCGACTTACCTACCTTACTTCGCTTCGGTCCGTATGTACGCGGATTATGCAACTTCATGGGTTTTATTTTTTTTGTGCGGAACCATTTTTTTTAAAGATAAAAGTAGCCTAGTTACTTCTTATAATATTCTGCAACAACTCCATATAAAATCAGTCCAGCAGTTTCAGAGATTAGCCGGAACAAATACTTAGATAGACAGATTAAAATGTCAATAATAGTTTTTTTTATATACATATACATACATATATTGTATATACTTTCATATATGCATTTAGTAAAAGCTGTTATTTTGACAATATAAACAGTCACTTCCATTTTTACCCAGGCGCCCAACAGAGGGTTATGTGTTTTACCTGTATGTACTTATGTATGTATATCGGACCCTATGTTCCCTTGTAATTACTAAACGGTATAACCGATTTTTATGATATATACGTCATTAGATTCGTCTTGATTACGCGAGTGTCATCCATATCCATACTAATACCTATTTATTATACTTAAATGTGAAAGTGTATTTGTTTGTTTGTACCTCTTTCACGTCGAAACAGAGTAACGAATTGGTGTGATTTTTTGTTTAGGATAGTTGGAGGACTGGAGTGACATAGGCTACTTTTTTCCACGGGAGACTATCTCATTCCCATGGGAAAACACGTTATAATACAACCCGCAACAACTCATCATACCTATGTTTATGTATAATATGTATAGTCTATCTATTTATTCCATACTAACCGTTTAAACGTGCCTAGGTTCCTAGGGACGAACCCGAGCAAAACGAGGGCGAGCTGCTAGTAATGTATACATGTAGATATCATTAAAAATAAAAAGGGCGAGTCATATACTAATACTATATAATATGTAACTTGTACTTATTTGTAACTCTGTTTAATTCGTTTTTTACGCAGTCGGGTTTTTTATATTTTTTCATTATAATTATTTGTAATTGATTAGTAGGAATAACGTGGTACAATAGTCGACGAAACTAATAAATACAATAAAAGTAAATTAAATTTATGTCACACTATCTGTTTCTTGTTTGTTACCGGAACCTTTGCTTTGGTAGAGGTTGACATTGACTTGGCTTTTTTTTTAAACATTACTATTTTGGCACGAACGGAGATAAAAGTTGTTTGTTACGGGACACGAAGTATTAAAGCGATGCAAGTATAATATTATCGTCTAATAAAAGTTAAAAAACTCGTGTTACTACTTGTAATGAAACATCCGTACTAATATAATAAATGTGAAAGTTTGTGAGTATGGATGTTTGTTACTCTTTCACGCCAGAACGGCTGAACGGATCTGGATGGGCACAGAGATAGATTATAGTTTGAAATAACACATAGGCAACTTTTCATCCCGGAAAAATGTACGGTTACCGTGGGATAGGTTTGTTTTTGTTTTCCTAGAGGCGAACCCGAGTGAAGCGAGGGTGAGCCGCTAGTACTTTATATTAAACTTCGATCAACAATATAGCAACAATACATGGTATTGTTGATCGAAGATATTAAACCACAATCATCCACGTAAGACATTTAATTTTTTTTTCTTAGCCCAGTCTCAATCATCTTTATTTTAGTAGACGGTGAAAAAAAGAATATGACTATCGAAGTGATGTAAGGATAAAACCTTATTTTCCATATTTTACATTTAATATCATGATTGTATTATTTAATATCCTATTAAATATTAATCCATACTTGTAATAAATTTGTAACTAAGTCGAATCTGTACATTAAATATTTTTTGAGAAATCTAATTCAAATAGACATTATTATCGATACAGAGTCCGAATCTATAGTTTTTAGAATTTTTGTTTGTCTGTCTGTTACCGCATCACGAGAAATTCACTGGACAGATTTTGATGAAATTTGGTATGATGATAGCTGGTTATCCGGGTCAACATATAGGATACTTTTTACCGCGGGAAAATATCTCATTTCTGAGAAAAAATACATAAACTGCATTGTAAGAGTATACTAATATGTAAAACCTAAGAATTTGGTTTTTGGTTATCTGAACGCGGGCGGCAATGCTATTTATAAATAATGTACAATAATAATTTAAATGTTAGATAGATTATTTATTAACATTTTTAAATAGTTTCAGAAGTAACTAAAAAACAATCTATAATTTTTATCAGGTATTACGGCAAACACTTTAATTATTATAATATTTTTCTCCTTTAAAACAACTTTTTAACAAAAAGAAAAATTTCAAAAAATATTTTCTACTTACCCTTAGGTAATTCATAAATATCTTTAAAAGCAGAGAAGAAGTTCGGCTCTGAACGCATAAAGTGATACATTGGTGTATTCAGCATCGTATCGACAATCTTGCTTCTTAGAGGAATTGAGTAGTTGTCTTCTCTTTTTCTTACTATTTGATAGTCTTCATAATATTCAACATTTGATACTGGCGCTGCATAGTCGATGGACACTGTTGCTGCGAAATCATTAACTAACAATATCACCAAAACACATAAAATAGTTCTATTCATATTTTAGTATGTAAATAAGAACAATTGTATTATTGTCGGTAAGTTTCGGTCAATTTAAATTGTATCAATTTAACTAATCTTATGTCCGCGAGGATCAATTTAAGACTGCCCGTGAATTAATGTTGTATCATTTTTGAACAGGTTATAACAACGACGCATTTTAGTGTTCTTTGACGGCTCGCGCGTGTTTTTATAAGAATAAAAAATAAACTCGGACAAAATCGCACACATATGTGTAATTTATTCACTTAAAAGGTATACAAAATGCACTTGACAATAAAAAAAATTAAACAGGTTGTCTGCACTGCGAATGAATATAAAATAGTGAGTTATGTACTTACTATTTTAAAAGCTTTTGCCCGATACTAACGTAGTTATACATGTATTTATTCATACTGTGTAATGTATATGTATAATTTCTCCGCTTAGGGGTCGTAGTTTGATTCGTTGCATAGTTTATATTCCGCCTCTAAACTGCCTCGGCGGTCTATTGGCTAGCATGTACGGCTGCAAATCCGGAGGTCCTGGGTTAGAGTCCGTGGTATTCTCAGTAATAACCCAGAGTTGGAAAGTTGGCGGTGTTTCACTCTCGTGCCTCGGAAAGCACGTAAAACCGTCAGTCCTGCGCTTTAACTCTCAGTCGGAAAACGGTTAGGAGGACATTATTATTCCGCCTCAATAAATATAGAATATTAATAATAAATATAATATAATATAGTTAGTTAATAGTTATAATATACTTAGTTATTAATAATAAATATAGAATAGTTATACAATGTAAAAAATATATTTCAATTCGGACAGGCTTTCTCAGAAATTAGCGCTTTTCGCATGGTTTAAACGATTATTCGTTTCAAACAAAAAATGCCAAAGTTTTCCTATATTGGTATAGATATAATAAATTATGGGAGAGCTATTGTATACTTTTACTTTTTCACTACTTATACTCGTACGTACTTTCAAATACGATGTTAACATATTTTTAACCTTATTAACATATTTTTTTGTTATAATTTAAACTGGAAATTCGAGGTCAAGAGCCTGTCTGAATTAAATGGTCAATTACTTATTAAGTATCATGTAAAATGTACATATGTTATTTTTCGCCTCCGTGGTCTGGGTAGCATGTACAGCTGCAGTTCCAGCGGTCTTGAGTTCAAGTCCTGGATCTGGTGAAGTTTAGCTATGTATAAAGTTTTTCTGTCAAGATGTCTTTCACTGGTCGTGTGGAATTATGGTGGTTTATGAAAGACAGGAGTAGACTTGTGCATTTGTATTTGCGTGCATCATAATATCATCATATTTCTTCCGCAGTTCAGACGAACAGACAGAATGATAGATGCACAGTCAGGATAGTTTTAGTAATAGAGATAATAGCACAGCGTAGATAATAACTGACAAGATTAAAGCAATTGTATAAGATTATTGCTGCATGTTGAACCTCCGAACACCCGTGAACAGTGACACTAATACTGTTCACGGGTGAAGGAAATAGTCCAGTTAAATAAGGATTTTAACGAAAGAAAACAATATGAAATATAATGATGCAATGAGCTATACCTAGTAAAAATATTTGTTTTGTTTTTGTATGTTGTTCCAAAATTCTCATAAAATCTCGTCTATGCAAGTCAAAATATTCGAGATCATAAATAAATGTTTTTAACAGGCTTTTATTGTCTATAATTGTATTCAAACTTAAAGTTGATATTCATTAACCGACTTCCAAAAACGAGGAGGTTCTCAATTCGTCGGAATCTTTTTTTTTATGTATGTTCACCGATTACTCAAGTCGGTGCCAGCGGACAATATTTTAAGAAATGAATATCAATAGGTAAATATGTATTTTACTTTTAAAAATATATTAGATTTCCTATGCGTCGGCTGGCACCGACTTCGAAAATATCTGATTAGGTATCTTTTCTAAATGAAAACCCCCGTTTAGTTATTTTTTACATTTTAGTGCCTGGAAGTCGGTTTTATTTTTTGTAAAAAAGTTTTTATTTATAGTTTAAGGAGATATTCATATATACAGTAACTAGTGACTCGCCCTCGTTCCGCACCGGGTTCGTCCCTAGTTACGTTTTAACGTTTAGTATAAATTACTCAGAAATGAGATATTTTCCCGTAGTAAAAAGTATCCTATACGTTGACTCGGATAAACAACTATCATCATACAAATTTCATTAAAATCTGTTCTGTGGTTTTCTCGTGATGCGGTCACAGATACAAAAATTCTAAAAATTATAGATTCGGCCTCTGTAACGATAATAATGACTATTTCAATAAGATTTTCCAAAAAAATATTTAATGTACAGGTTCGACTCAGTTAGAATTATTTTTATACCTAAGTATATAGATTTGGTAACACCTAGCTGATCTGATGATGGAATTATAAGGTGGATTGTGGAACTCTTTAATGAATCTTTTTGTTCGGTTTATCGAGTCATACTGCATACCTACTCATTATATTGTGTAAGGAACGGATTTTTTTAATAAGTATTCCTTGTTGATTTCTATTAACTTTAAAAGTCATTTAAGATAAAGATTAATGGAACAGCAGTAGAACATACGAGGTAGATTCTCTCTTGCCAGAGTTTACACATTTTGATAGCGATCACGGAAAGTTTTATAACTGAATAATTACGGCACCATAATTTCAAGTAAGGTTGCTAACCCTGCTACATAACGGGGATACATGAGGTCATAGACATATTATGATAGTAATGGCTTTTATACACGTTATACTATTTAAAAATATATATATTTTTGATTTAAATATTATACATCAGGTATGATATCCAACTCAAAAGCTTATTTTGCTACTTTTACATGACTGCGCGACGCAAAGGATGGTAATGTGTTTATTAGCCTATGTATGTGGGTTTGTACTTTTGTGGCACTATTTAGACCAAACGCGTGGGCCAATTTTGATAAACGATACGTTGTCTGATTAGTCATGACTGCGCGAATGTGATAGAAATTATAAAAATTTGGAAAAATCAAAATGGCCGATTTTGGACGCCATAACGTAAAAAAGAAAATCGGAAAAAATCTATGTCAAGTGGGGTAACGTTAAATAGGTATTTAAAAATTAATTTTAGGTTTCTTTCATCATTTTTCATTTTAAAGAACAGTTTAGGATATATAATGATTTAAAGTTGGTTAACAACCATTCTGACTATTTTTCCTACTTAAAAGTACTTAAAAAAATAAATAAAAAACCTGACTGCATAAAAGCTAACTAAAAAGATGAAAACAAGTTCATGAAGGAATATAGTATTATGCAGTCGGAGACATAAATGTCTCCAGTCGAAGACATAGGTTGATTCCCCATACAAACTTTTATCCCCATTTTCACCCTCGTAAGGAATGATTTCCGAGATAAAAAGTATTCTTTGTCCTTCCCAGAGTCTCAAACTATCTTCTTACCCAATTTCATCTAAATCGGTCCAGTAGATCCAAAGATCCCTTACAACGTCATAAACATCACAATTCACAAACTTTACCTCTTAATAATATTAGTATAGATTACACTCATATATTTACTTATCATTCACACAGTCTACTTTCAGAATATGTAAAGTAAACATCAAATCGTATGACAATTTTTTTCGTTATTCTAGGGCAGAAGGAGGTCGCATCGAATACCTTCCTTTAATGCACAACTTATTTATTTTTACAATTTATATGTAGGTCAGTGACAAAATTATCTTGAATATTAATTATTTGGAGTATTTAAAATTAAATTTGTAAAAGTAAACTTTAACAAAGTTCTTAATCAAGAGCAAAACAAGGTTACATTTCTTTTCCATTAAGTATTTTATATAGTAATAATAATATCTTTACAAAGAAGGAAATATTTCTAGATAACATTTTATTATATTTTAAAAATATAATAAAAAGGTTTACGGATTCGTTCTCTATTCGTATTCTATTTAAATCGCTACCATGATTTTCACCAACGCGGAACTCCCAAAAAGTAGAATTCTAAATTTAATTTAAAAAAATCTTGAATACTGCAAGACCAAGGTTATTTATTGCAAGTGCAGTTTTTTTTGAATAATTATTCTATCTTATAGAAATAAACATTATTATCGACACAGAGGCCGAATCTATAGTTTTTAGAATTTTTGTCGGTCTGTCTGTTACCGCATCACAGAAAAACCACTGGAGGAATTTTGATGAAATTTGGTATGGTGAAAGCTGGTTATCCGGGTCAACATATAGGACACTTTTTACCGCGGGAAAATGTCTCATTTCTGAGAAAAAAATACAAAAACTGCAATGTAAGAGTATACTAATATGTAAAACCTAAAAATTTGGTTTTTGGTCATCTGAACGCGGGCGGAGCCGCGGGCAATGCTAGTACGCTATAAAAATAAAAACATTGCCATTGGTGTATTTAATAAAGTACTACCGGCTCTTGTCGTCCCACCTATTTTGGTATCCGAGTGTGCTAAGCATGAATTATAACGAAAACGGAAGTCTAATTTAATGCGGAAACTTCGCGATTGCGAATACGGATGCGAATACTTCATAAAATAAAAATAAATATTTAATTTTGAAAGTATGCAAAGGATAAAAGTTAAAAGAATATTTGCTCAGTTTTTAATGTTAACATAGAATTATTATTTTTATAACTAATTAAAAGAAAAAGGAGATTTCATTTCCGGAAATATATTTATGCTTTTCTTATATTCCTATGGCAAGCTTAATTTGTTTGTAAACATGGTTTTGTTTTTTTTTTATTTTGGGGAGGGGAGGGGGAGAAAGAAGTCGTCCATTCTCTACATCTTGAATCACACTCTTTTTTCACTTATGGAAAGACACTTGTTCTTTTTTGAATTCATATATTGATACTTAAAAATTAACACCTCCAGGTAAATTTCTAAGAAATTAATTAAAATTCTAATAAATCTATTGTTAACTGACACGCTGGCGTGTCCCACTTAAACGTTTGAAAGAAGACTAGACTGCGAAGTGCGAACTCTCATATCTCATTTATGTAAACAATCGTGAATCGACAGATCTGTGCATGAAAAACGCTTCAAATTATAGAGAGTAGAAGAGCCCTGACTTCAAATTATTGAATGTTGGGGAGCAAGATACTATTCCTTCAACTTCAAATTACGGGGACCAGTTAGTTTTAATTTTATTCAATTTATCGAGTGTTTTTGAAGGGACCAGAGAAAAATATCAAATTATCGAGAGATTCAAAATAACGCATTTGTTTCTTTAAACGCTCTAATCTCTGTATATACTGATCCGATTTGGAAAATTCCTATTTATTGAGGAAGGTTACAGGTTTTCTTACGTCACACTGCGACCTAGGAGAGCGGGGTACTTCTACAAAATTAAACGACGCGGGTAGTTCCGCTATAAAATTTTCGTTAATCGTTGGCTAAAAAGTAATTATGATAACTGTAATTATTTAATGAAGCTGCAAAAAACTTATTTTTAAAAGATTACAAAATATTAAATATGTTTTAATTGCATATGCTTACAAAGATAAAATTTTATTATTAATAGAATTTCTTCGTACAACATAATTTGTTTGACAGGGATTGTTTTCATAGAGATCTTTTACAAGTAATCTTAAATTAGAAACAGTGACAACAACGGATTTCAATGATTTCATATAATTCTATTTTTTTTATTGACATTAAGTTCTGTTATGTAAAAATTCTTAGAGACATAAAATTGCTGCATGCATAATTGGTTAAGCAATACATATATTAAATTTATAATAAATATTAAATTTAGGCGAGGTGGCCCACGTGTTGTAGTGTGTGCACACGCTATCCTGCGACCCCTCATTATTTCAGCGATTGGGTTTTTTGTAGGCTTGTATAAATAAGTAAGAGTTTCATGGTCCCCTGTCCAATGACGGCTGGCAGAGATCTCATGGTGGGTTTACTCAGCGATGTCAAAAAAGATCCAACATGAAACTTTATCAAATAACTAAACGTAATGCCTATTACATTTATAAAAAATATTTTTTGTAAACATAAATTAGTACCTAATGAATTATTTTTTTCAGTCTTTATCGTATATTCCAAGTGTATTTTATTAAGTCGGCTGCTTTGAGGCCTATTACAATAGCGGGTGCATTTGTATGTGCGGATATTGTTCTAGGAATAATACTGGAGTCCACTACGCGTAGATTTTTTATTCCTTTTACCCTTAATTCGGGATCTACAACAGCTTCAGGATCTTCTTCAGGGCCCATTCGACATGTTGCTATTTGATGGTGTAGAGTCGCAGTCAAAGTGCGCAAAGCGCATTCCCAATATTCATCAGTATCAAATTCAATAGATTGACAAGTTTTATATTTAGCCGGATAGATGCGAGCGCCTAGCCGTTGAAACGGAGCAGTAGCAACTAATGCCTGTATGTGTCGAATTGCCGCTATAAATGTATCAACATCACTACGCGCCGTCAGATAATTACCTCGAAGACGTGGATAAGTAAAGGGATTGTTATTTTTTAGTTCTAAATATCCAAATGATTTTGGATGTAATAACATTGGAAAAGCACTCCATGTATCTGTGGCATCAATACTTCCAAATGCGTCATCAAATATACTTGGTTTTATTCTCATGCCTCTTCGGACAGCCTTGCTGCCGCCAGGCCCTCCGTCAGATATTATTGATCCTCCAAGATTTATAAGTTCCATATCTGGAACTGAAGGATCTGGATCATCTGAAATTGGTGTTTTTATATAACCAATATCTTCAACAGCGCCCGCGGACGCAAAAGAGTTATCTCCGTTACGTATCCATTCTATAAAATTTGGTAAAGTTAGTTCTTTGTTTTCAATAAAACTTACATCTGTTACATTTAGAGTATATATTAAACCAGGGAAGCATATATGATCGTACAGCTTACGGCCAACTGGGAGATCTTGTATTACTGATATTCCAACAGAAGTAAGATGGTCTTTTGGTCCAATTCCAGATAACATTAGAAGTTGCGGAGAAGCTATAGGTCCTGCTGCCAGAATAACTTCTTTACGCGCTAAAACAGTATGGAGTAGTTTGTTACGTGAATATTCTACACCATATGCTTCTTTACTTTGAGGATTTATAAGTAATTTAATTGCTAAGCTGTCTTGTAAAATATGAAGGTTTGGTCTTTTTTTATGACTATGTAAAAATACTTTCGCAGCACTGTATCTATGTCCTCTGCTTGTCGTAACTTGCACTCTACCAAATCCAAGATTTTCAGGGGCATTATAATCCACTGTGGGATGTCCGAGAATTCTACCAGCTTCACGGAATGCATCAGATAATTTTGTTCTGGAAAAAGATTACAAATTATACATTTATTTTTGTCCACTAAATATGCCCTCCGCTTTATAAAGGCGATAATCACCAGGGCGCTTACGTTTTATCTATAAATATGTATATTATATATCAATTATAATGAACCTTAATTTTTATTTAATTCAAACTGCGGTATGAGTGAAAGTGAGCAAGTAAGTAAGAGTAATTGAGTCCAGTCAAATCTGTCCAGGTGTATTCGAGTAATGCGACATCAATACAAAACTGCGAATAATTCTGTACTGAAATAAACTCTTTTCTTATTTTTTACTATTTCGATTTCTATGGCAAGTAATAATTTTATCGGTTTTTTTAAGTAGATAAGAAGACGTAATGTGATTATACTTTATTGGTACGAATTCCACAGGTAGTACGCCATCACGACCTCTATGAGGTTCCTTCTCATAGCCTCCAAGGTTAGATTTTTCCACTTGTACAAAATATTTTAGCATGTCATTGTAAGACCTGTAAAGAAAGTCAACACATATAAATTATTTATATATTATTAAAAATAATGTATAATTACTTTTATTTTATTTATAACACTTTATTGCACAAGAAAATAGGAAATTAACATAAAAAAATATATACAATTAAAGACATGTGCAAAGGCGGCCTTATCACTAAAAGTGATCTCTTACAGGCAACCGATAGAAAAGGATATAAGAAAATAAGTGAGAAGAGCGGAAAGGTGGATAAAGTGCAAATCATTAAAACTTAATATAAATAAACACATAAATATTTACATATATAAAATACTAGTTTTACCATATATATTTTTATTATATATACATATGCATACATATACATAATAATAAAATAATATCTAGATATGTATATATATGCATAAATAGTACGGCACAATTGACAGAATAACCCTACTGTGATAGATAGTGTCTTTTGAGACGTTTTTTAAATATTCTCACCTACTTCGAAATTCTTATTTGAATTGGAAGCTCATTCCAAAGTCTTACAGTTTTAATGAAAGATTCACCATAAGATTTGGAATGGCTTAATGGGATTTCGAGTAACCTGTCACTGCGGAAGCGAAGTTGTTGAGCGTGCTGGGAACTATCACCTAGGAACGCAAAGCGTTCTTTGAGGTAGGCAGGAGTATCAGGATGAAAGAGGACAGTATATAGAAGAGAAAGTTAGTGTAAGTTACGTCGACTGTATCCAGTTAGCCATTTCAGTTGTGTCCGATACTGTGTGATGTGATCATACTTCCTTAGTCCAAAAATAAATCTAATTATGAGATTTTGAAGGCACTCGAGCTTATTGAGTAGTTGCTGAGATAGATCTAAGTAGCAGGAGTCAGCATAATCAAGTATCGGTAACAGAAGGAAGTGAGCTAAAGAAATTTTAGTTTTAACCGGCAGCAGGTTTTTCCACCTTCTTAAAGTGCCAATAGCAAAGAATATCTTACGGCTAAGTTGAGCAATTTGAGGTGTCCAAGAGAAGGTGCTATGCATTATGATTCCCAGATTTTTCACACTACTACTATATTCTAAACGAACATTATTAAATGAAATTGGAGGGAGGAGATAAAAGTGATAATTAGATAATTAGATAAATGTTTTGAATTGCCAAACACCGCTACTACTACTTACTTGGATTTATAGTTTATACACAAACCAAATAACTTACTCCAGGTACTAATTATGTCGAGATTAATTAACTATTAACTGCCTCGGTGGTATAGTGGCTAGCATGTACGGCTGCACACCCGGAGGTCCTGGGTTTGAGTCCCGGGTCGGGCCAAGTTTAGTTATTGAGTCTTTCTGTATAGTAAGCCTCAATAACAGCCCGGAGTTGGGAAGTTGGCGGTGTTTCACCCCCGTGCCTCGGAGAGCACGTAAAGCCGTCGGTCCTGCGCCTTAACTCACCGGTCGTGTCGAGTGGTCGTCCCACCGGAGTATGAGAGTGACAGGAATAGAGAGTGCACTTGTGTCTGCGCGTACACTTGTGCACTATAATATCTCCTGCGCAATCGGCTAGTCTCAATGAGATTGGCCGCCGTGTCCGGAATCGGTCAGGAGAACATCATATTATGTCGAGATTGGAATTAATATTTTCAATAGCCTTAGCAATGTCATTTACGGTTGTTTCGTATAAATCTGCAAGTCATCAGCATAAAGATAATAGGATAAGTAACGTTAAGTGCTTAGTGAGAGTGTTTATGAAAATGGAGAAGAGTAGAGGAGACAGCACTCCACCCTGAAGGACTCCAGTAGTGATACGAGAGCAAGAAGTACGTTTGCCATCAAGCCTAATGCATTGTTCACGATTATTTAGGTAGGAGTAAAACCGTTAAGATTCGAGGAGATATTTATGGACTTGAGAATGGCAAGTAGGATATCGAAGTCTACAGTATTAAATGCATTAGAGAAATCCAGCAGCGCGAGGATGGTAATTTGCTGACTGTCGAATCCGTGTCGAATGTCATCACAGATCTTTTTAAGTACAGTAACAGTGCTTTGCCCAGGACGGAAGCCGGACTGGAAAGGAGATAGGATGTTATTATCATTCAAGTGTAGGTATAATTGCTGATGGTCTATACGTTCGAGGACTTTAGATAAGAAAGGAAGTATGGAAATTGGTCGGTAGTGCGAGAAGGGTGTAGGGTTAGGTGTTTTCGGTATAGGTATCACTAGTAAAAATCACCAGACATCATGGAATTCATTATAGTTTAGAGAAGAAATATATTGTTTGTCTTGAACAGTTTCATTAACGAACGCTCATTGAAGGCTAGATTAAGTAAAATTGAGTAAGTAACCTTTCCTTCTGCTTTAAAAGTTTTGCTTAATACAGGAAGTATTAAGTACACTGCTTGTTGTGTGGCAAAACTCAACAGTGTCCTTGATTTTAACCTGATCTATATATCTTTTACATTGTATTTTTGTGCCCAAAAATAGAGTTGTTGTAAAATTTTTATGCCATATACCGTGCAAAACTTTTCTATTTTAATTTATTTTTATATATTTTTTTGGGAGCAGCTAAACAATATCAATAGAACTTTTCAATAGGTCGACTATATATATATATATATATATATATATATATATATATATATATATATATATATATATATATATATATATCTACAGATGGAAAACTACTAGATAGGAAGAATATAACTAAATTATACCGGCAGCTTCACTGGTTTGTTAAATACCTATGTATTAATCTATACTAATATTATAAAGAGCTAAAGTTTGTGAGTTTGTGACGTTGTAGGGAGTAATCTCTGGATCTACAGAACCGATTTAGATAAATTTAGATAAATTTGGTAAGAAGATAGTTTGAGACCCTGGAAAGGACATAGGATACATTTTTTTCCGGAAATCGTCTCTTAAAATTGTGAAAATTGGGATGAAAGTTTGTATTGGGAAGCAAGCCAGGGACGAACCCGAGCGAAGCGAGGGTGAGTCGCTAGTCCAGGATAAAATAATAAAAATGTTACTTTCTTACATTTACGCGAATATTTGACATTTTAAATAAAACTATCTTTTCGGATTATTTCGCGGGTTTATTATGATTTTTGGTTTTGATGGTAATATTGTAAGGTACTTTAGGGCCATTTTTAAAATCATTTTTGAAAATAGTGGGTTGGCCGTGTCTGTAACAAGTATGTGTTTGAGACGTCTAAAACCTTAGTCTCTCCCGTGACCATGATTGCTGTAAAGCATTCGAAACGTCAGGAACCAAAAATCAAAATAAATCGGCGAAATAATGCGAAAAGATAGTTTTGTTTAATAAAAATATTATTCTAAATTTCCTTTAAAACTATTGACAGCGTAAAGACGTAAAATACAGGCACACTCACATGCATTTTATCTTAAAGTGATACCTAATCTATTGAGGCAACGGACTGAATCATCGTAATATAATCACAAGGTCAAGATCAATACAAATAATATCTAACATCCAAATTCAGGTTCATATTCGTTGCGTTAAAATTATAAGTTTGGTCTCTTTGTTATGTATTACGTACATAGAATAATATAATAAAAATCTCTTGTGAATTTTAATTAAAAGTGTCAAGGTTAGATTTGTACAAAATCTAGAACCTAAATGCAGAAGTATCTTAATTTTTCTTTCTCCTCTACTTCTGAGCCTCTCTTCAATAATCAGCCCATAGTCACCACGTTCGTTGTTCGGTTTCTCAGACATGCCGGTTTCTTCACGATGTTTACTTTTACCGTATGTAGTAATAATTATGTTGAATACAATTCGCATTTGGATTTGAATTCACTTCATTTGATTTTCCAAGCAAGTGTGTTACCACTGGCCTACTACTGATATAACGGGGGCATTTAAAATTAAAAAGGAATTTTAATCACCATCCATAGTTTCCATCTTCAGCGATCCGGTCCCAATCTCGTGGTCTTGCTCGAGTGTAAATCATATAATTCACAACACTTGTGCCACCGATGGCTTTTCCGCGTGGCCAAAAACAGCGTTGATTGTTCATTCCTGGAATGAAGTAGAGTCAGAGTATATATTATAAGGATTGCGTCTTGTGAGGTGCCTACTAACATAACTGTAATCAATTATGTAAATATTAAAGTGCAGTTCGAATTCTTAATGAAATACGAAGGTAATATATTTGTACACTACTACGGCGAAGCCCAAAGGAGCGTTATGTGTTTGACCTGTATATATTTATTTATGTATGTATGAATGTATGTCCTATGTTCCCTCGTAATTACATACTAAACGGCTTAACCGATTTTAGATTCGTCTAGCTAACGCGAGTGTCATAGGCTGTATTATTTTTATTATTGTATATATTGGATTTCAAAATGAAGGTAAGTGGCGATCACAAAATATATAGATATCTACAACTTATATGTTTAAAAGTGATTTCGGATATGAAATAATTAAATAAAATTTCAAACGTTGAACTGTCTAGAACTAAAAAGTTGTAAATAAAAAAATCACTACATAGTATAAAACTAAGTCGCTTTCTCTGTCCTTATATCCCTGTATATGCTTAAATCTTTAAAACTACGCAACGGATTTTGATGCGGGTTTCTTAATAGACAGAGTGATTCAAGAGGAAGGTTTTAGTATATAATTTGTTAAGTTTTTGTATACATTGGCTAAAATATAACGATATTTGTTGGAGGTGTCGGAAAAAATAAGACGTCTGGGAGCTTTCAACGAAAACGCTGCCTAAACACTTTGAGATATAACAAAATAATGTATGGTGGAATTGTGTATCTTATATAGGTCTACAGAAAAGTCCGCGATGGCATATGTCTATCTCTTAAGGATAACATACTATATCCATTTTAATTTAAAACGTAGCTAGGGACGAACCCGAGCGAAGCGAGGGTGAGTCGCTAGTAAATTATAAAAATCAGAGCAAGTATAAAACTATGTTCTTTCATCACCTTGTTCTTATCTTTTTAATTAGTTTTTACGCAGTGGGTTTTTTATTTTTATAATTTATTTAGCGACTCACCCTCCCTTCGCTCGGGCCCCCTCGCTTCGCTAGGTACGTTTTAATTTTATATAAGATAACTAAATGCGTGCGTGAATACAATTTCTCAATATCTCTACTAGAACTGTTACGAAAATTCAGATTTTACTTTGCGATAACAATTTTTTTACGAGCTAAACAGAAATCTTAGTGAAATGTATCCGTTATTAATTCGCATTGGTAAAGTAAGACAGGCATGCGTTATGAGCGTAGACTAGATGTTTTTTTATTGTTGACGTATAATTATTTTATCACACCTCACACGTATAGAATGAGGATATCACGTATATAGGTAGTATTTTTACAAATTAACGGTTGTAATATTACCCATACATACTCCAGGCTGGGGTTCCATATAATAATGCCACACATATTCTGTCCCTTGGAAGTAAGGGGCTCCAGCGGGTATATCGGTGAAAAACATTTCTGGTTTGCCCGCCTCAAGTAGAAGTACGGTTACATTTCGGTTTTCTGTTAGTTTAGATGCCAAAGCGCAACCAGCAGAGCCAGCACCAACAATGACAAAGTCGTACTCTGTATATGGCTCTTTAAGACCTGTAACATTGGATAAGAAAAAATATAAACATTTCTAAGAGTTTTGTATCATAAAGATAACGGTATTATAAATTGATCTATGTAATTACTAGCAACTAACCTTCGCTACACTTGGTTGTTTCCATAGGTGCCTAACGGTAATTATATGTTACTTCTAAGCATTCTATATCTGTATACTAAACATCTAAATTCGTTCAGCCGTTTCAGCGTGAAGGAGTAATAAACAAACACATACATGCAAACTTTCGCATTTATAAATGTAGTCGCCTTTTCTACTTCTTACAAGCGACTTACCCTCGCTTCGCTCAGATGGGTCCATAGGTACGTTTTGAAGAGATAAAAATATTTATTGTTAGTGTACTTTAGGAGATAGACACATGCTATCCCGGAGGTTTCTGTAGGATTTTTAAAGCCTACAAATTTATAGTACATTGTTTTTGTTGAAATCTTAGCCGTTTCGCTGCGAGCAATTAATAATTTTAAATCTGTGATATCTTCTAAGATATCCATTTTAAAGATATGTTGTAAAGTGCAATTTTGGTCTACATCAAATGCCCAACGTATCTTATATAATTGGATAGGGATTAATACTGTATTGTTTAAAATAGCTTCCTACAAACCCATTATTTTTTAGTATAAACGTGTAAAACATAAAAATGGTTACCTTAACTGGGTTAACCTTAGGAGATAGACCTTCTCTTTAAGATATAATATTCGGTAGTATATTATTTTGATGTGAGGTTAGCCAGCGTATACAAGGTTAGCGCCCAAAAATATGTTTTGACGTCATCATTATAAATCTTTGAAATGCTCAACTTTTTTCTATTATAACATATGCATATATTATTCATATAAACTTTCCGGAAGAAATTCTTTAAATGATAGTGAAAACCTTATCAAAATCCGTTGCGTGGTTTAGAAGGAGTTGGCGGAACAACACAGACAAAAAGATCGAATTGGCTTTATACCTACTATGTACGAGTATACCTATAATATAGTAACGATTCATCCTAGCATCGCTTGAGTTCGTCCCTAGGCAAGTTTTAACTGTTAGTATGAAATAAATAGACAATTCATTAGTATGTACGTAGTACTACATATTATGTAGTAGTAGTACGCATGATGAGTTTTATATCCCTTACTTGAGAAATGTTTGATTCCCCATACAAATTTTCATCCCCCTTTTTATCCCATTTCGGATGGTTTCCGAGATATAAATACATATGTCATTCCTAGGATCTCAAAGACTCAAACTATCGTCATATCAAATTTCACCTAAATCGTTTTAACGGATTTTTAGTTTATCCATTACAAACTCACAAACTTACAAACTGAGGTAAAGCTTTTTTTTTTGTATTCAGTGACAAACGAGCAGACAGCCTACCTGATGGAAAGCGGTACCTATCGCCCATAACACCCACGGTTCATGCACTTAGGTTTTATGTTACAAAAATGCAGAACTGCAGGTGCGTTGTCACTCCCCCCCAACGTGCGTTCACCTTGCCGTGATGGGGGGCTCAGTAGTGCCCGGCAATACAGCCGGGCGCGAAGCCAAGAAACGCACAGGGAGGTGGCCCTCTTCGGAGGGCGGTGTACCATGTGGGTTGCTCCTGGTACTTCTCTGATAGCAGAGTGGATCTTGGCGCAACTCCATAGTTGTTGTGGTCTGCTTCGGCAGACCTGCCGTCGGGGCGTCGTAGTTGAGTGCGTAAGCGATCCTGCGACGCCCTATTAAGACGGGGGAAGGTTTTGTTGGGTTTTAGTGGGTAGTACTGGCTTCGCCGGTGAGTCCCACACCTCGCGCGTAAATGCATTTCCCAACGTTAAAAAAAAAGGTGTGTTGTCACTGTGAGGACTAAGATTGTATGCCTCTTGCCCGTAATTGCGCTGGCTATCTTATGCTTCAAACCGGAAAACAACGATGTAATCATTGTTGCTTGGCGGGAGTAATAGATAAGGGGAATGTACTCATCCAGTCGGACTCCTCAGGCTTGAATATTATAAACTTTTTTACCGGTAATAGGCAGAGTCCTATGAACGTAAAAAAGTTTATAATATTAGTGTAGATAAATAGAGAGTTAAATAAAACTAGAGTATTACTTGTTTTTTTTAAAGTTATCTACGTTTTGTTAAAGTTCTTGAGTAAAAAAAAAACAATTAAAACTCTTATAAAGAAATATTATTGTGGCAACTTATGTATAATGAAATAAAATATTAGCTTATTCTGTACAGTAATAATTTATATCGTTTAAATTTGATAATAATTCATGCATTTAAACTTTTTTTTTATTCGACTTAAATGTATCTTTATATTTAATTTTAAAAATATTACCTACCTAATAACTGGTTGTTGTTATTCAATAAATTGTTTCATGTTAACCGCACTCTTGAACAAAAGGTCAGTTCGTCAAAAAATAAAATTTAAGTTTTAAAGTATTCAATTATTTTATTAAACTTAAGTATAAGAGTATTTATAATCTATATATTTAATAAAAAATTGAAAAATATTAAAAACCGTGGTTTTTATCCGTATTTATATAATATTAAAAATTAGAAAAATGCTACACAATTACTTTTTCAAGAAAAAAAAACCAAATTTCTTATAACTATTCAATCTCGAACGCTAATTTAAAAAGAGTAACAGAGGTAAGGGACCTTGGAGTCCAGTTGGATAGTAAAATCATATTCGATCATCATATAAATCATGTAGCAACTAAGTCATATCAGATGCTGGGCTTTATATTTAGGCAAGGGGCAGATTTTAAAAATGCTCATACACTAATACTGCTATATAATGCTTATGTTAGGGCTAATCTGGAATACGCGTCTACAGCTTGGAATCCACAATATAATAAATATATTGACTTAATTGAAAAAATACAAAATAAATTTTTAAAAAGATTAAAAAAAAGATTTGGCTCTGCTTCTTTTAGTAATACTACTTCCCTAGAAAAGCGTAGAGAACAAAAAGATCAGCTCTTTCTTTACAAAATAATTCATAATTTAGTTGACTCTCCGTACCTATTAAATAAAATATCATTTAATTGCCCTAGACATGGCACTCGTTCTCAGGCTACTTTCTCCACCGCTGTCTCCAGAACAAAGTATTGTGACAATTCATTTATTGTAAGATCCTGCAATATGTATAATAAGCAATATCATGACATCGACTTATTCAATAATGGGTTCAAAAAATTCGCTCACTTATTAAAAAAAAAACCATAAATTTTGTTAATGTTTAGTATTCTTGTTTTATTGTTCGATTTATTCCTGTTAATTTTAAGTTCACTTCGTTTATGTTTTTTTTTAGTGGAAACTTTATTGGCTTAAGTTTTTTGTTTAGAAGTGTTTAACTAAATCTTATTAACTATACGCTGTATGTTTCCCAATGATAAATAAATAAATAAATAAATAAATTAATATTATAAATGTAAAAGTTAGTTTGTATGGATGTTTGTTACGGATGAAATTTGGCACAGAGATAGATTATAGCCTGGAATAACACATAGGCTTTTTATCCCGGGAAAATATACGGTTCCCGAGGGACAGATTTGTTTATGTTTTTAAATAAGATAAATTGTTTCATGTTTATGTTTTAAATAAAACTATCTTTTCGGATTATTTCGCGGATTTATTTTGATTTTTGGTTCCTGACGTTTTGAATGCTTTACAGCATCCATGGTCACGGGAGAGACTGAGGTGTGACATGTCTCTAGGGTATATTGTTACAGACAGCCTATCCACAATTAACAAAATGAAAATTGCACCGATTACCTTACAATATTTTTTTACTTTAAACATTTTTATAATTTTAATTAGTTTTATAATTGAATATGGAATATTATTTATTTAATTTTTGCTTCTATATTCTTATAATTATCACAATTTTAAAAATATTAATTAGTAATCTATATTTAGTGTTGCCATTATTATATTTATAATCATAAAGAATTTTATATTTTTCTTTATGGTTATGATTCGCACATGAAAATATCAGAGGTGCGAGACCCGGGATTTAAATCCGCTTCACTCGGTTTCCCAAGCGAGCGCGTTACCACTGGGCTACCACTGCCTTCCTGTTCATGCACCGTTAGAACAAAAGGCCAGTCCGTTAAAAAAGATAATATATAAATGTTTCTGGATGTGTAAAGAATTATAGCAATGCATTTTGGTAAGTTTTATAAAATAATTTAATAGGAAATGATTAATATAAATATGTTCTTGCATTTTCTTTAAAGTGCTCGTCTCTAATACTAATTGCATAATTGAGTAAAATTGTTATTTGTCGTTATCTAGTATAACTGATCTGACTGACTGATCTGATGATATCATGAGATTGTTATAAATAATGAAATAAATGTCGTACTCTATAAAATTTGGGTGTATGTCGTTTGTATGTAGGTTACATACGACTGCGTGATTAAGTATATAAAAATGTGTAACTTGCAATATTTTTGTTAAATTTTTAAGCAATCCTATTACGCTTTATTTATAACTTTTATGTTAAAACCATAAAAAACTTTATAAGTTCTTTAAAAAAAAGTAAAATAATATATGAATACTAGTGACTCACCCTCGCTTCGATCGGGTTCGTCCCTTGTTATGTTTTTAAATTTAGTATAGATTTCTCAGAGATAGGACATTTTCCGGCAATAAAAAGTATCCTATGTGTTGACCCGGATAACCAGCTATTATAATATAAAATTTCATCAAAGTCTGTGCAGTGGTTTTTTCGTGATGCGTTTCCAGTCAGACAGACAAAATTCTAAAAACTAGATTCGGCCTTTGTATCGATAATAATGACTATTTCAATAAGATTTTTCAAAAAATATTTAATCTACGGATTCGACTCAGTTAGAATTTTATTATATGTATAGATATATGTATAGATTATATAGTAGTTAGTACTTACCTCCAGGTAAAGGATAGGAATCCCTTAGAAAATCAAAAAAGTTTCCATTGGTATCTTCATTACTGCCTCCTATCACTTGCATGAACTTATTTAATATAGGGGTTTGAGGATTCGACCATATCAACCTTTTATATCTACTTGCAGCAGGTTCTATATCTTCATAATCATTTAGGATAGTTATCTCATCATCTTCATTCAAGCTCAAAACTATGGCAAGATATGATAAAACTATATATGCACTTATACAAATTTTCATGTCTGATCGAGAATTATTTAATTAGGATATGAATGAACGTCCTAAACGTAAGCGAAATCAGCTTCAACTGGCATGCGGTGGTCTGGTCAATGAATTTATATAAGTAAAGAAATATTTATGACGCCAAGGGTGCCCAAGGTTACCAAAAATCAAAACATATAATGAATAATTTTAAAAGTTCTCATTTGTTATATATAATATATAATATTTTTAGTTTATTTTTAAAATTGCTAGATAAAAAATATGTATGAAAAAGTTTTTGTAAATTCTCGCAATGCTTTCACCTTATGAATGACACTGGAAAAAGTCGAGGTGGAAATCTAAAATGCAAATATTTGTATATTTCATGTAAATTTGGAATTAAACGAAACAAAAGCAAAAAAAAAATCATTAAGGCTACATAAGTGCAACGAAGTTTTCTTGTGAAGGGGTGAAGTGTGAATCCACTAAGCTATTCATTAAAGAATTTAACTTTGATTTACATTTATGATACTTTGTATTCACCTTAATTATTATTTAAATTTTAGTACTTTTTTGATTTGTAAATGGACTTGTTATTTTCTTATATTAATTAGCTATTTTCTAATCGCAAGCGCGACAAGATGTAGTAAAATCGCACAAACTACTCGTACCTACGTCAAGGAACTATCCGATCGAACTTGTTTAGGCGAGCCTACACGACCCCGCCCGTGATAATTACCTTCGTTATCTATAGGTTCTATTTGTTCATAGTAAGATGTACTTAAAATCAAAATAAACGGTGTGGCATTTATGCGATGCGGTTTACATATTTATGTGGCCTTTTTGAGATAGAAGAAAATCCGGCCAAGTTGTTAGTAAAGCCTACTTAGCTGTGATGGTTTTCCTTATAACTTTATTTCTATATTAAAATTATAAATGTGAAAGTTTGTGAGTATGGATGTATGTTTGTTACTCTTTCACGCCAGAACGGCTGAACGGATCTGGATAGATTAATTATAGTCTGGAATAACACATAGGCCACCTTTTATCCGGGAAAAATGTACGGTTACCGTGGGATAGGCTTGTTTTGTCTTTCTAGAGGCGAACCTGAGTGAATCGAGGGTGAGCCGCTAGTACATAAATATACTACTACCGTGAATTTCTTCACATATTCTAAAAACAGCCAAGCAAGCACCCAGCTAAATAGCTTGGGTGACACTTAGCACTTTAAAGCTTAATATTTCACAAACCAATTCCTTTATTCAAAAATTGTTTTCACAAACCTGCAATATTTTTGTAAGACCTATCCAATGACACCACACATCATGGGATAGACGAGAAAAAAAATACCCACTTTACGTGTAGAGGAGGTACCTTAAACATTTTTTTTTCAAGATTTTATTGTATAACTTTGTCAGCATGACTAATATAAATATCCATGCTAAATAACAGCTTTCTAGCACAAGACTCTCTGAGCTAAGCTGTGGACACATGGACGGACATACATGACGAAACTATAATAAAGGGTTTTTTGTTGACTACTGAACCCTAAAAATGCTCTGAGTGCGCTTATTTTGCACAGTGAGTGATTTTGGTCCTTGAACCTAGCATACATATTAGAAAATTTATATATATGCATACACAATATTGTACGTTATATTGTGATTAGTTGTGGCCACGGAAAGAATACACAGGTTATACTTATATAGCTACAAACCCTACGTAAAATCTTTTAAGCAAGTATTATTGTTTTTACTTGTTTACAAAATATTGACCAAGTAATAGATTTTTATATTATTAGTTTGATGCTCACTCTTTTTAAATTTCAAATGCTTCTCGAAATATCAGACTAGAGTAGTAGATTTGAAGGTTGCTAAGTCATTAATATTATGCAAACTATTATTTTGTGAATAATATTATGATGCATTCAAAATTTACCAGTCCAGTCAAGAGGTAAATCAATCTTAATATGTTGGAACATTAACACACAACACCATTTAGTTCCATGGTAAGCGACGAGGCTTGTGTTATGGATACCAGATACACTGGCGTGCAAAAAAATCGGGCCACCCTTAATTTTAAGCATAATTTTTTGTTGAAAATTGTTTGGTGAAAAAAATACCGCAAAGGTAATTAAGGAGATTAGACGCCTTTGTTTCCTTCAAAAAAGTCATAAAATTCCTGGAAATGCACGTGTGCGCTTAATTATAGTCAATTTGCAGTAATTAGTGAATATTTTCATAATATGGATTGAAGCCACAAATACTGTTTTTTGTTATTTTAGAAGCTTAGTTGAGTTCCAATTATTGAACAAGACACTGTAAGATGGATCTGACCGAGGCTGAATCATCTGGAATTGTGACTTTGCTTGAAACTGGACAAAGTCAACGTCAAGTGGCTCAAACTTTTCTGTGAGCTGTTCTACAGTCCAGAAAGTGTACAAACGTTACATAGAGACTGGTGGCTTTGTACGACGACATGGTTCCGGCCGACGAAAAGCCACGTCAGAGCGTGATTATCGATTTATTGTGTCATCAGCTCTAAGAAATCGTCATCGCACAGGGGTTGACGTTCGAAATTTCCTGAGAGGTGAGAGAAGTGAGAAGTGTTAATGTTAGCGAGTGGACAGTAAGGCGCCGACTTAGAGCCGCTTCCCTGACGCCACGCTAGTCCGCAACTGGCCCCAAACTCACCCCTGCACATCGAATTGCATGATTACTTTTTGGCCGAGATCACGTGAATTGAAATTTGGAGCAGTGGAAGAAGGTTCATATTACTGACGAAAGCAGAATGTGTTTGCATGGTGCCGACGGCCGTAATTTTGTTTACCGGCGACCAGGTGAAAGATATGCACCATGCACTATGCGGGAAACAGTGTCATATGGAGGGGGCTCAGTTATGTTTTGGGCAGAATTCTGTTACGAAGCGAAAACCGAGCTTATATTCATAGAAAATGGATCCCTTACAGCCGCTAGGTATAAAACGGAGGTTTTAGAAGATCATGTGATCCCTTTTACTGGGTTAATTGGAGAAGAATTTCTGCTTCTGCAAGATAATGCTCGCCCACACACTGCTACATCAGTAAGGCAGTATCTTCAAGAGGTCAGAGTGTCTACTATTGCCTGGCCAGCGCGAAGCCCTGACCTCAATCCGATAGAGCATGTATGGGACCATCTCAAAAGAAAAGTTAGAAGTCGCGTAGTAGTCCCGAGTAACGTTCAAGAATTAATAAGCGCCTTATTGGAAGAATGGGAGTCTATTACACAAGATTATCTAAAAAAGTGTGTCAAATCTCTGAAAAACCGATTAAAAACTGTGATTAAAAATAGAGGCGGTAATACGCATTATTAAAAACCATAAAATCAATCGAAATCTTTTAATTGTCCCATTAATTTGCGGCTTACATTTTTATACCAAATTCGCGAAAAATCATTAAATTTGATTTTCCTCTATTTTCGAGCAATAATTTTTATTTAAATTATTCAACGATTATTGATTTTGGTACCTAGGGTATACAGCTACCCATATATAATAACAAAATTAATAAAACAATATCATATCTTAAGTTTGTCCATTTTCTCTAGGTGGCCCGTTTTTTTGCACGCCAGTGTAGTTGATACATTACACATATATCCCCCCCAACGTGCGTTCACCTTGTCGTGGTGGGGGGGCTCAGTAGTGCACGGCAATCCAACCGGGCGCGAAGCTAAGAAACGCACAGGGAGGTTGCCCACTTCGGTGGGCGGTGGGAGGTGGCCCTCTTCGGGGGGCGGTGTACCATGCGGGTTGCTCCTGGTACTTCTCTGATAGCAGAGTGGACTGTGGAGCAACCCCATGGTTGTGGTGGTCTGCTTCGGCAGACCTGCCGTCGGGGCGTCGTAGTTGAATGCGTAAGCGATCCTGCGACGCCCCATTAAGACGGGGGAAGGTTTTGTTGGGTTTTAGTGGGTAGTACTGGCTGTATTACGCCGGTGAGTCCCACACGTCGTGCGTAAATGCATTTCCCAACGTTAAAAAAAAAAAACTACACATATATAACTTTAAATACGTACTTATTATAAATATAAACACCCATGACTGGAGTACAAACATTCGTGCTCATTACACAAATGAATGCCCCCAGCGGGACTCGAACCCGCGACCGCTGGCACAGCAAATAGGGTCACTGCAAGCTGAGCCAAACGTGTCGGAATCTACCTAAAGTAAAGCAATTTCTATCGATAATGCCATTCGATAAAGGGGCATTTTCTAATCCGGAAGCCAAGTTTGAAGGGTCGATCGAGGAGCGCTGGCGTTACTATCGAGGAAAACACGTTTTATTCAATATCTCCAGATGGCACATCCCACGTAAAGAACTACATATAGGAATCTTTTCACTTTCATATTAAATTTCCTATCTTTTGTATTAAATACACTTTTCAAAATTAATATTTATCCATATATCGTGTTCGAAACGCACAAATGTGCACTCACATACGCAACCTTCGTCGGTTTTTCGCGATTATTTGCCTAACTGTTCACTTACATCCAATTATATCTAAAAGTTGTTATATATCTATTACTTACAAATTTTATTTAAAACTTTCTATTAATAATATTTCTCGACTTATGAATTCAGAGCGAAAGTGATATTTGTGCGTTTCGAGCGCGATATCTCGGCAACTATTGATTTCAGAAAAAAATAAAAAAGAGGAATTTATTCCTCTAGCTTGGCTTTAAGTTTAGAAAATGCCCCTTTATAGAAAGGCAATATTGCGGAAATTGTTCTATTTTTATTTATGTATATTTCGCCGTTTTTTTTCTTACTGATAGAACTAAAAGAAATCATCGAAATGTATTTGCAACAACAGCATCGATAATATTATATTTTATAATTGAATTGTATAAGAATTTGTGATTTATTTTATTACTAGCAGAACTTCGCGGCTTTGCTCGCGCTAGAAACAAAGCTCTAAAATGGTAGGTTATAGGCAAAAATGGTAGGTTATAGGTAAAAATGGTAGGTTATAAGCAAACTTTCATCCGCTATTTTAGCCCCT